TATAAAAACTTAAATAATGGATTGATGTCCAATGTGGTTTAACGGCCCGTTCACACATCTTTCCCTTACGACTTATTTTCATGACTGATAGACCAATTAGGATTTTTTACCGTTCATGATTATATTAAAACGTAGTGATTATATACTCGTTGTGTAAAACGATCAGAAAAAGTTGTTGTGAGAACGTAGTGTTAGACCGTCATCGTAATATTAGTAAGAAAGACAGGGGAAGCTATAAATAATGCATAAAAATATTTTTGTTTCAAATATTAATTGTATTAAAGAAATTATATTTAGTTGTTAAACAATAGAATTTAAATTAGGTAATAAAAAGGCTTACACAATCAAAGGTTTTTCCTTTTCATCATCATTATCATCACCATTCTAACCTTTCAAAAGTGAACATAGGATTCTCCCATAGATTTTGTTGCAGCTAGGTCGGCTCGACCGGGGAAGGAGCACGATCTTATTAAGAGAAAATACTCATGACAAATGTTAGTGCTTTTTTGCTAATACAGTTGAAATCGGTTATAACGACATTGAAGGTAACATCTAAGTATGAACGCCAGAGATCATTCAAGTGAAGACGCCAGACACCATCTAAATAAGGACGCTGGGAACCATTCAACTAAAACTCTACTTCCGGTAGTTGTTAGCTATATTACAACTATATCTATGAAACAGGACACCATGTGTGTCGTAATAGGCGACAGAGGAACACTCAAGCAGGAGATGGATAGCAGCATCTTCCTTGCAACACGCCTGCTAAGAAGATAAATATTTTTAACGCTTCTATATTTGTTTAATCGTACCCTAATCAAAACATGTGATTTCAGGTGTCACTTACGAATTCATCAAAACTTCCACATGCAAGAAACGTTTAATGATCATAGACAACTACACATATGCACAAACTACGAGTGATGAGAGATACTGGCATTGTAGTTCGAAACTTGCATCTAAATGTACCGCAAAACTAAAGTTTAATAACAAAGGAAATCTTATTTTTTATCAGTTGGATCATAATCATGCCCCACCACAATACTATAAAAGAAAGGACGGAACGTACATCAAACTCTAAAGCCATTTATTTATAATATAGAATAGACTTCGTTTAATTCCTCACAGAGAAATACCACGCTCTCACATAATACCAATATACAGAAGCAGTTTAATGCAGTTGTTTTGGATGGTGAGTAGCGTGAATTGGAGACTTTTTAGTTGTGATGAGATGTTCCATTTTATTTCTCAGGGATGAAAACGCATCTGCGTTTTGATTCTTAGCAGTGAAAAGGTTATGTATCTACGAGCCACAGCATTCACCTACCATCAATAGGAATATGTGTTAATTTGTCATGTTATATAAAATGTGCAACATTCATCGTAAAAAGTCTACTGATAAGAACGTCTAAAAACTTTGACATTGCTTTCCGTCACCGTATTTCACATGGGTATTGTACATGTAATATAAATATCAAAGATTAATAACCACTACGTTTAATAAATATGGAACTGTGCAGTGGTGAATAAAAACTCTACTTTTAACGTCAGCTTATACTAAGTCTATGTTATATTTCTTGTACTATTATTTATTCTATGATTATATACTCTTTGTGATCAGCGATCAGAAAAAGTAGTTGTGAGAACGTAATGTTAAACTGTCATCGCAATATTAGTAAGAAAGAGAGGGAAGGCTATATAAATAGTGCATTAAAAAAATGTTTTTATTTCAAATATTATATTTATTCTATTAATAATAATAGCATTTAAATTAGGTAATAAAAAGGGCTTATACTATCAATTTTTTTTATTTTCGTCATAATTATGATCAATATTCTAGCCTATCAAAAGTGAATATGGGCTTCTCCCATAGATTGTATTGTAGCTGGGTCGACTCGACCGAGGAAACGATCTTGGAGAATGCAGGGAACTGGAGACCCCTTTTTACTGGATACGAGGTATTCTATCTTAGTCCTTAGGGGAATGCATTTTGATTTAATCGAGGATCATTTAATCAAAATCAAAATGCATTATAGGGTCACAGCATCCACTTTCCATCAGATAGACTATATGTGTCTCATTTGGCAGCCTTATTCTAAAAAATAATAGTTGCCTCTTATTTGCCACAATCACCACGATTGGCAGGTGCGTTGGCAACCGCAGTTTTGTTAGATTAAGTTGTTATCAGTAAGATGTTGCCACCAATCCTCTGTTTTGATTCGCCTCTGTCGTCTCTTGTGACCCTCGTGAATGAATAGTGGATTCTCTTACGCCGCCAACCTCTCCGTAAACCTCTACTTCACGTTGGTATTCTGTGAGGTCGTGGTACCACCCCGGTTCGAGCCAGCCCATCCGTGCGACATCAAAAGCCGCCACGTGGCTCTACCACTGTTCATTGTGTAGTGTTCGCGTAAATATAAGAAAACAGTATTTAAATGTTTTAATTTAAAAAACAAAACTCCTATAGCTTCCAGTACATGGGGTTATATATATATATATATATATATATATATATATATATATATATATATATATCTTTTAAATTGTCACACGCAAAATACCGACATTGGAGACGGGCCTCTGCGATCGTCAATTCACTTACTATGCGTGTAAGAATATCCACTATCCAATATCATCCCCTGAGTCTCGAAAGAGGCGACAGAGGTAAACAAATCAGGAGATGGACAGCGGCGTCTTCCTAATGACGGCTAAAAATAAAAAAGCTGCTGTTGCCAATCCAATCAAGCGTGGCAACTATGGTAAATATCCCCCTGTGAGGAAATGTAGGGGGGAGGCATAGAATTATTACGCATAGAATACTAGTACGCGCACGGAAAGTGAAGCAAGTTAAACTAACGCGAAACAGCGTAAGTTCACTCAGCGACGCGTCAGTGCGCAACGTCATGTCTTACGGAGAAAAGCTGGCGAAAAATTGTAAAAATGACCGTTTTTGTTGTAAAATATTGTCACAACAGTGATGATAAACATAAAAGAAGTGATGGTACTGCATTTCACATACAAGTTTATATATTTAATTCATTATAACTACGTAAAACTAAAAAAATACTTACCTAAGCTATCATAATACAAATGTTGCTAGTTGTGGGGAAAAAAAATCACAATTTTCTTTTAAAAATATTTATTTTCTATTTGTGTTTATATATAGATACCTACTTCTCTAAGTATTAACATAATATTAACAATGGGTACCTATTTAAAACTAATACGGAGTGATCAGCTAATCGCGATTCGTCGACGCCATTTTAACGCAACTATTTTATTTTAATTGCTTTGTTTATTGATAAGTAAGTTAGAGTATAGAATAAAAACTTTTCTATTTACAACATCAAGATATTATTAATAAGAACGCCTTTACTAACCAGATGTCACTTTACACCCAAACATTAACCAGATGTTATTTTAGACCCAAACATAGTCTATTTTAACTGACTCCTAAAAAGGAGAGGTTATCAATATGTATGTACACTGATTTCTAAGACAATTCTAGATTTACTAGTTTATGTCGTATCACTACGCTTGAGAGTTCATGTTCTGAACATTTATTAGCGACCCTTCACTCTGTAGGCAGCGCGCGGTAGCGCGTGCGATAGACGTAACACTAAGTTACATCCAGCGAATTTTTTTTCAGACTTTATTATAGTAATACGGTATAAGCTAGCCTGCACGCCCGACCTACTTGCGAGATGTTGCTATTGGTTTGAGATCGCATTCGAGTTTTGTTTTTCTCGATTGTAAATCTGCCATTTTTGCATCCTAATAATTTTTATTTTAATAAAATAAGTACTACCAAGACAAAATAATTTGACTTCGGGAAAACAACCATTAAAATTTCAGCGTGTATATTGGATCAATCTGTGTGAATATCCTTTCAAATAAAAAAATCTAAATCGGTTTAGAAATTGTAGAATTCTGAGGTAAAAAACATTTAAAAAAAATACACTGAATTGAAAACCTCCTCCTTATTTGAAGTCGTTTAAAATTAAATATTACACGATGTGCTTATTGTATTCGAGCAAATTAATTGTGTTTAATAATATTCTTAAATTTTATTACGTCTGTATTTTTGTACCATTAAAATATGTATAATTAAGTTATATTAGTACCATCATTATCGTGTTTATTTTATTCCATTTTATATTCTTATAAAATATATCTTCGTACGTAATACGTAACCTTTATTATATCGATTATTTAAAATTAATCAATGAAATAGTAATTTGCATAATTTGATTGCATACGCCAGAAACTGGTATCACTGAAAGGCGTGTATGTATGCGTGTGACGAGCGTAGGCACATTTGACTCGCGCCCACTAACATAATGACCTTGCATCATTTTAACGCTCCTGTTTTGTACTAGACTGCGTTTCTACTGGGTAATAATTCTATGGGGAGAGGTTTATGTTCATCAGTGGACTATAGTAGGCTGTAACGGTAGCTGTTTCTAATACGTGAGAAAAGTACTTTAGTATTAAGAACAAACACTAATGAGTTATGCTAATGCTTTTTTTGTAAATACAGTTGAAAGCGGTATTAATGACATTGAAGCGTCCAACTTAGTAAGTACGGCAGGGAGGGGCCATCAAATGAGGGCGTTAGGAAGCATCCAAATAATTACGCTATTTCGGATAGTTGTAATAAAATATATAAAAACCATGTTAATTACTAGCTGTTCTGTATTTATTGCGATTGGATTTCATGGTTTTATTTGGTGTGGAACCCTAATTCTTTTTCGAAAATAAAAGTAGCCTAAGTTACTCTTTATAACATCAGCTATCTGTCAGTGAAAGTAAAAAGAAATATGGGGACTGTGCTGGTAACTAACTATTTCGTCACTATAACCGGTCCGTGAGTATATGTATTCAAATAGTTCAAGAGCAAATACTAGTTCACATGATAATCTTAAAATATTTTCTAACTCTGATACTGTTCCGCAGGTCTTCATTTCGAATTCATTACTCCAACGAACTGCAAGAAGCGTATGTTGATCGTCCAAAAGTATACCTTTGCCCAGACAACGAACGACGGAAGATATTGGAACTGTAGCAAGAAGCTGTCAAACAAATGCCCGGCGAAACTGCGGTTTGATTCCAGTGGGCGACTTGTACATTATGAACTTAAACATAATCACTTACCGCCTCAGTTTTATAGAGACAGTTGTGGAAAATACGTGAAACTTTAAGTTAAATTTGTTTTATAAGTCTCAGACCAACAAAGAAGTAAATTGAAGCGCTGGGCACATTTCAAGTGACGCAAAAACCATGCTCAACTAATCATAAGCACAGGCACTCACGTACACATATGCAACTGAAAACGAACAATATGGTATTAAGTGCATAATATGACTGCGATAAGCATTTACGGGATGATAAAGAAAGCAAGAAAGATGTGTGTGTGAGTGCATGTCAAGAAGTTAGCATGATTTTTGCGTCACTTTAAAGGTACGCAACGCTCTTAGTCTTTCTTATTAGTCTGTGGTAAACGTAACTTATACATTACGTAGCTTATGTGTCATAAACTATCGCGCATTTATTTAATTATTAATATAATATATTTACTAATGTCTTGTATAGTAGGGACAAGTTGAAGATGTACGTGTTAAGAACCACGTTCTCACAGAATACCAGTGTCATAGCGTATTGCTCAGGAAAGACAAGCATTTTGCATTTTTATTCCTAAGCAAGGATGGATATATTATGTAACTATGGGCTACAGTATCCATTTACCATTGGGTACTGCGTCCGCACATGCCACACTCTTGCTTGAATAAAAAAAGTAGAAATTAATTCGCATTGAAATATTAACAATTCGAATAGAAAGAGACTTACTATAAGTACCAAACCAACATGAGGCAAATAGAATTAAAAATATAATGGATCTTATTAACAAAAGTGTGAAGCATTATTCATTCAGAACTATATTTAACAAGCTAGGATAACTTTAAATTAAAACATAATAACATAAAACATCTATAATGATAATGCACTTATAAATGTAACCGTTTGTAGAAAATATTTAGGCATAAGCAAAACTTTATTTAGTAAAGTAAATGTTGATAATACATCTGTTTTTTATTTACCTAGTTAGATTCGGATCAGATTATTACAGTGGTATATATCAATATTGTACGTGGATCTAGCAACCTTTCTTCCTTTTAGTCGACTTCAGAAATAGAAGGTTTATGTAATGTTTCTTTTACGCAATATCTTCGTCAATTGTACACCGATGTAGGAGTTGTGCGGTATAATATTTGGAGAGAAAATTCACGCCTAAAGCTAGCAAAATAGAGGATGAAGTTATTGATGTAACTTCGCTTCATTATAAATTGAAATTGCGATATTTCTTAGACCATTTAAAAGGGTAGAAAAATACCTTGAAATAAAAGAAAAAGCCAATTTTAAAGAACTAAAAAGTATAAAATAATTTTACATTCTGAAGTCGATGCTTTAATTCTTATATAACTATGTCTTAACACCGACTTTAGAATGTCAATTTTTACTTTTTTTTGTAGATATGTATTTGAATTAGGCTTATACTTTATTATCATTTTTTTCTTTCGTTCTTAAGCATTATGTTGTATTTACAGTAATATTGATTGAATTGTTTTACCTGATTATCAAGTGTAGTGGTACCGGGTTCGAATTCCAGACCAAAATCAGGTTTTCCTATCAAGAAATTTTCAGGAGCAACCCGGGTCATAAAGTTGGCGGTATTTCATCTCCGTGCCTCGGAAAGCATATAAAGCCGTTGGCCACGCGCCTGATCTATCTGTGGTCGTGAATGATTGTTGCCGCTTTGGACTAAAATAATGAGGGAATAGATAGTGCACCTGTGTTTGCTTACACACTCATTCACTATATAGAACATAGACGAAGAGCTGCGTATATTTCAGGTGACGCTAAGTCTATGTCCCATGTGCACTTTTTGACAGACACGCACACTTCTTTCTTTCCCTTAAAGTACACTGATGTACGCATACATGTGCACCTAAAATTATTTTGTTGTTTCTAAATTATTTCTGATGCATGGTTTCGTCGGCATTTAAAATGTATGCAGCGTCCGTCTGTCTTTCATTGTTAGTCTAACTTTACAGCTCACGAAAATTATTTCAGGAAGGATTCCGCTGTAAACATTACCTCTATTTAATATTAAATATCATTAAAACGTTAGAATTTTCGAAAGATTTAATAATCATTAAAACTTTAGAAAATTCTTAAGTATTAATGATTATTAAAACTTTAGAATATCATTAAAACTAGAATTTTCTAAAGTTTTAATGATATGCACTGTATAGAATAGTGTTCCAAATATTTTAGTTGAGAATATTCAGTAAGTGTTTTCATTCTTACAGAAATTATGGTGGTGTAAGTTTATTTGTTAGAAGTGGTACATAAAATCTTTAATGACTATAAAATACCTATCTTATGATACCCTTTATGTAAATGATATTAAAAAAAATTACGAACAACACTGACATAAATTAATAAGTTAACATTAACCATTAACAAGAACAAAAACATCCGCAGTTTTCTTATTTTCATCATCATAATTACAGCCCTTCACAAGTCCACTGCTGAACATAGGCCTCATCCAAAGAACGCCACATTACACGGCCCTGAGCCACCTGCATGCATCCACTTCCTACATGCCACTAAGTCGTTACTCCATGCAGTAGGTATTTGTTTAGATGATTAGTTTACGTACTCGTAAAGTGAAGTAAATAAAATATATACATAGATCAGTTTATATAGAAATTATATTCTTGAAATTAATCTACTTCATTCAAAAAGAAGGATGTATATAGTTATTATATAAAACTGAATTATAAGCTTCCTTAAATTAAATTTTGGTCATTAATTGTTATTTATTTTTTAAATATGTTTATAACATAAAAGTGAACAAGAAATATTTTATACTTATATTATATTTGCTTGTTCACTTTTTTTTTAAATATTTTTAATTAAAGTCGTCTGGTTCATGTATTGTGTTATTACAGATCTATTCTACAAAATTCTCCAAACGGACAGAGGAAACTTTATCTTGTTATTCCGCAACCACACCTTTTCCAACAGTTGCAACTACAGATATTGGTACTGCTCTAAAAGAAAATCTCGCAAATGTCCTGCCAGAGTTTTTATTGATAACTATGACAACATTTATAAGTTTTATGACAAACACAACCACTAAGATTTAATATTAAGAATAGTTTTTGTTATATTCTACATGCAATTGAGAAATAAATGTTTTATATATTTTTAGTGTTTTCAATGTTCTAAATGGTCTATTGGTACCGAACAGATTGCTCAACCAACTTACGCCGGCCGTGTCCCGTTCTCGTCAGCATATTACAGAGCAATGCTTCCTCTATTGCGGAGTTAGCCAAGATCACATTTTAGGATCGTTAACTCTATAGAAAACTATAAAAATGATTGAAATTAACTGTAAGTCATGTCACTGTTCTGTAACTTGACCTTCAAATATATCATCAAAAATGTCAAGGCTAATCTCGCAGATCTAACTGCGCGCGGGTAAATTAATTTTGCAGCGCTTATTTTCAACATATTTTGAAATACTGTCGTTGTTTCGATTTTTTAGAACACCCATGGTTACGGGAAGAATAATGTATTTAATGTCCCGATAAGTAAAGTCGAATCAGACTTTGCTATCAGGACTTTAAAGGTTTAACGTCGGTATTTCAAAACAAATGCGAGATAAATAAATAGTTTTATTAAATGTTGCGTGGTTTTTGCTTAAATATAAGGAATCATTACCAGGGTTACTACTTTAAGAATGCAGTTTTCCACTTATGTTCCGTACAAATTGACAGTTCACAGTTGCACACACTGTCGTGTTTCGGTGTGAAAGGTAAAAACTTCAGTCAAAAGTTAGATACGGTTTTCAACAATGGCAAGAAATATTCTAGATGGTCATTCAGTAAGGAGAGATATCAATGGGTTGAGGTGACCTTATATCATCAGGCTGACTGACCTCTTTTGCCAATTTATTGCCTCGATCGAATTAAAACATTTCTTTAATAGTTTTATTTTTCCAATCTTCCTTTACTCACAGGTTCACTCCTGAAAATAGGCATCCCCCAAAGGAATGGCCACGAAACACCTGGCATCTTGTGGGATATTCTGATTTAATATGATCGCTTTTTATAACATAACAACTTTTCTATAATTAGTAATATTTCTATATGTTTAGTTATATTTCTGTCTGCTACAAGTATTAGCATTAATGATTTTTTTAAGGAGTGTCATACGAGCTCGTCGATTCTTTACGCGGCGGCCATCTCTTATTGATACAAGACTACACATTCTCGAGAACTAACAAGGCCTCCCGGTTATGGTTCTGTTCCAGCAAGGTATGCTTCTTTTAGATGTTTGATTTTTTCTTTTAGATGTTTTTAGATTTTATTTTGTCGATCTGAACATGTAGTAGCAGTGTAGGAATATCCACTGCCCCACGTTATCCCGTTGTAGGCGTAAGAGGTGACAGAGGAAAACAAACCAGGAAATGGACAGCAGTGTATTCATAATAACAACTAAAAAATTTAAAAAAGGGAGGATCCTAACCCACCTACCAAGTGTGGCAACAGTTATAAATACCCACCATACACCATGTGTGCTTTTATGTGCCTAAAGTAGCCTATGTTAGCTATAAATGTTGTGAAAAAAATGGTGCACGGCAAGTTTAGTCCTATTAGTCCTACATATGGATTTATGCTGGGATGATTGACTGAGATGCTATTTATTACCAAAAAAGGTTTCTTCATACGTCCAACAGCTGGGAACAGTCCTCCTCTCTTTTTTCATAAAGTTTTGGCCAAGCAAGTATCCGCTGCGTTGACCTATTGCGTGTTAGAATATTTTTTTGCTTTGAATGTTTTTTTTTTAATTTCCAAGGTAAGCACGTTCCGTTACGATATCTTCTCTTATTGCCGAACCCGTAATAAATCACCACTTATAATTGTAAATAACCCCCGAGCCCTTACCTCTGAGCTACCACGGCTCTTAGAAGATAGTAGATGGTTTTATATACTTCAATGAAAATAATGAACGTTTCTCAAAAACTAAAACCATTCTATACAAAAATCGAGTTTATAATCGTGCGCCGATTAATTATTTATGAAATTGATATAATACAGTGTAAACTTTAAATTTAGAATTTTTTTCTTTT